TGCTTAATTTTTGTAAGAATAGTGGTAATCAAAATCATTTAAAAATTAAATTTATAAAAGAAAAAATAGTATATATTTACTACCACTTTAAATATGAAAATAAAATCTCCCGCAAAATGCGGGAGAGTTGGCAGGTATGTATTTCTTATATATAATCAGTTGCCATCTTTTTTATATAAATGTTACACTTTTCTGCTCCATGATAAAATTAAACCTATGCGAAACTTTCACTAATTTTAATCCCTTTTAATAGATTTTTGATTTTTATTAATCACCACTTTTAACATTTTTGGTCGCCTGTGGTATTCCTACATCTTCAACATCATTTATATCTGTCGCTACCAAGAATGAGTTATTTCTTAAAAAGTAAATAAATAAAAGAGAAAAACCGAAATAGTTTCCAAGGATGATATACGCGACTAAAAATTTTAAATCAGGAGGAACGCTATTAACTTTTATTTATTTATTTTAAATTATTTGTTCGTAACTACCACTATGATTTACATTTGAAATTATGTTTATTTAAAACAATAACAATTTTCTAACTGAATTAATAGCATATTGAAAAAATACTTAATATTGTTGCTAATTTTAATCTCCTTTAAAATAGTTATGAATTATAATAATCACCAGTATTTACATATTTAGTCCCCAGCGGCAACTCAAAGTTTTGCAAATATTAATTTGTTGCAGGGGAGACATTACTCAGCCAGCTTTAACCGTTTAGACTATAATATTCTATTGTTGGAACATATTCTTCTTTCAAATTCCTAAATACTGGTATTGTAGCTATTTCATTGTTAGCATTAATTAAACAAGGCACATACACCAAAAAAATTTATATAAAAATTTGCGATATATCCTAAAAAATGTAAATTCTTATATTTTTAAAACCAATTGATAACTAATGGTATAAAATGCAATAATTTATTCACAAATGTGCTGTGGCTTTTTTCATAAAACAACTTTTCTAATAATTGCTGAAAGTAAGCCGTTAACGTTTTTCTAAGCCATATTTTTATGTGTTTGGCCTAGAATACAATTAATACTTTGATAATCAAAATTATCTAAATAAAATCTAAGATATACAACTTACTACCACTTTAAATTTTTAAAAGAAATCTAAACTGTAAATATAAGGAAATAATTTTTTAACCACCTATAACATACATGGACACAAAGATAATGTTTAGCTGCCGCTGGACAGTGAAGGGATTAGCCACGCACACATATTTTCTAAAATTTTATTTTTACATTTAAACTAGTAGTGAAATTAATACTTATTTTTTTACTTTTATAAATATGTTTTAAAATGATATTGACCACCACTACATATAAATTGAATTAACATTTAATCAAATGCATAATAATTTGCGTTATTTTTAAACTGTAACAATCAAACAAGATAGAAAACATGTTTCTGCTTATAATTGATCCTTCTACTACCTCTAAAGAAAATCATCCTCATAAAGATTTAAAGCTGTTGAAGGCTGTTAAAAATAAATAACTCTTCATCATATTTTAATTAAGTTGTGGTTAAATGAACTTTATTACCCATTTGACAAAATGGGTGTTGTTTTAGGTTTGATTAGAGCCCCTGAATTAGACAGGTCGACTTATAATTTATTGTTGGAGCAAAGAGCTAACGTAAACACAGCGAATAAATATTTTCAAGTGGTAGATTATTAATTGTAATTCTTGGTTTCGTAAGTTCGATTTAGTAGATTTTAATCCACCTCTATTTCTAAACAATGCGTAGGCTTATATAATTCACCACTTTATAGTACTTATGACATGCTTTACATTTTTAAAAGCAAGCAAATATTGTCAACTATTTGCAAAATTTACTTTGTAGTTATTTACCGTTTTTTAAATTATTTTGGCGTGTCCGCAGCAGTTGGCATCTCTGTAATAACATAACTAATACTAACATGACGTTAACTTACGAACTTGTTTGCTCCAATATTGCTTGATAGGTCAGCTCTGATAGTATAGGAGCCTTAGGTTTGATGGCGCGCACCTTATTGGACGTCATCATACTTTTCAACTGTCTTCAAGAATAATAATAAACAGAGTGCTATGTCGACCGCTGCTATTTGATAATTTTTTTAGAATTCCTTTTTTTTTCACCAGCAGCCATTCTTAATGTATTTACAGAGTAATAATTTAAAGTATTTTTGTATTCCTTTTATTTATTAACTTATAATTACTGTCCTGACTTTGATTTCAGTATAAATATGAATACTGAAGAAGGAAGGTGACGTCTTGAAACACGTACATAGGCAGGATATGAAAACCAATCAGACGACAAACATCAATTGAGACAGTTTTTGCAATCCATGATTTGAAATGTTGTGGAAGCAAAGGGTTTAACCTACCCATTTAACCAATGGGTAACCAGTAATCAAATTTGTTTTCCTTTTTAATATTTCTTTTCTTTTTATTTAATAGTTTTATTTAGGTGGGTTGAAATAATTTTTGTAACATGCTCAGAGTCTTAGAAAGGGTAAATACTATATGATTACTTACACACTTAAACGGAAATGAAAAATTTATATAAGAGAAATGTACTTAATTCAATGTTAACTTATTATAGCTCAGTCACCAAAAATTATATATATATGAGAAACAACTATATTAAAAAAGTGGATAATTTCTTCTCTTTCCTACCACTTATCTGTATTTTCTATACATTATAGTTGGTAGAACTGTTTTGCTTCTACAAAAATAATCCTTGTGCTAAGTAACCGTCCTTTAACCGGACGCTATGCAAAAATTGATTAAAAAGAAGTGTTTAAGGTGTCAGCGTAAAAATTCCAGAAACATCGAACGATGTTTTGATTTAAATAAGTTACTAAATTTAACCAAATACAATTTTTTTTAATATTATACTACATCGAAAACTAAAGATATTTTTCTTGAAGAAATTAAATCCAACTGAATTTTAAAATATGATAATTGAGCATTTAAGAGTTTTTAGAATTTGTAGGAAAAAAATCCAACTGTGAGTAAAGCATCCAAATGAAGAATATACGAATAAAGAAAAGAAAATTCAAGATATGAATAAACATATGCATTACCTATAATAATTATTCAGAAACTATAGTAAATTACGCTTTAAAAACAATCACGTGATGTCGGGACAGCCTGGTTGGCAGAGCGCTGGACTCACGTTTGTGAAAGCGGTGGTTCAAATACAGCCAGCCGGAGACTATTCATGCAGTAAATGGTGACTGGTGTACTTTGAATCTGTCGGGTCACAAAGACCTCCATTTTCAAATAACAAATTAGACCTCTGTGGGTATTAAATTGGTGATTGATCATTCTCTTTATCAGGTCAAAATTACGATCTGGGGATGATTAAATGGACGTATGAAAGGATCCGCTTTATAAACGGGTGGGACGTATGGGTGTGGCAGAAGTCAAATTCTTGGCCATGAATGGCACCACTGGAATGGCAGAACAAGAGCACTCCTTGCCTTACTGGCCTACAACAACAGCAAACAATCATGTTTTTAGTTTGCATAAAAAAGTTACAATTTAGGGTCCAATCAAGTAACATGACAAATATAATTAAACTGTAATAAATTATTTTAAACAATATTCTTACATTTAGCGTTATTTTAATACTTTCCCCCTCTAAGAAATTACATTTAAATAAAATGTAAATATAAGAGCTTATAATGTTTGTATAAAGAAAATTCGACAGTACATAATGGAAATTTAAACTAAGTAATTTAATATATAGAACCAAACTTAATACATTCTTTTAAATAATATACTTACGTACACGAAAATTATAGTATTTGTTCTTGTCTCATGAAAAAATGCTTTAAATTGAATTTAGAAACAATGTTATTTTAGAGTTCACCCTAAAAAATCCAACACTGTATCAATCAATTCCACGACTTTTGCTCTTAAATGCTAAGGTTTTTAAAAAATCTCTTAGTGATATTACTGTAATATGTTGTGCGCACAGGATCGTGTCAACAATTTCATATCAGTTTTATTCATTTCTTCAAACGCATCCGTATCTACAACAGATTTGAAATTAGAACTTATGAAATTCACCTGTTCCTTAAAAGTTTCGTCGCTGTGACGGTTCGCCAAACTAAACAAGCAGCAAGAATTGCTCACTTGTAACTGGTCAAGCAAATCATTCTTGCAAATGTTTCGCAGGGACAACACTTCGTACTTATCAGCAGCGTAGTACAACTCAAACGTCTCTTCAAATCCACACTTTTCTTTCCTTCCAGAATATAGATAAGCGAGGAGTCTCTTCATGGTACTGGCCGCAATATCCATAATGACCACCTCATTTTGAGCAGCTTCGCTAGTATCGTGATTGAACATGTTATAAAAAACCGGCGAACGTGCTTGCAGCACTATTTTGTGTGCTCTGATAACAACGCCGTTAATATCCAGAGAGATGTCGGTGCTGTTGCCATCTTCCAGTATTTTCTTAAAATCACACGAAAGTTCTTTCAAAGAATCCAGTAAAAAATCACCAGCGGAGATATCGTCTGCGGACTCGGACACTACGGGATTGGGCACTTTAATCACGCAGGTGATAGTTACGGGATAGTTAGTTGAAGACGAGAGGGATTTGAAACTGGAGAGTAAATCGGCTTTGCGCAAAGTTCCGAAACTGCGTATGGATGCCACGTTGCTGTGAATTTCGCGATCTACGCAGTCCGATAAGATGATGGTGTAATGTATGACAATATCAACACATTCAGAGTTGCAGAGGTATAGATACAAGGTATCGAAAAAATCTCTTCTTAGTTCCAGAAACCATGCATCAGCACCTCCGAGATTGAAATTTGAACTGCATATGACATTTCCTGGTCCCAAATCTGATTTTTCGAACTTCCACTCAAAGAACGAGAGCTTTTTGGATGAAACAATAACAAGATTCCTCTCCTGCAAAACATTCGCCATAGCTAAAACATAGACTAATTTGAAATGAGACTTTCTTTTCAAATGATAAAGAATATTCTTGGCTTATCTCCATAGCGATCTTATCAGAAAGCGGTAGAAATTTTACTACTAGAGATAAAATCCGTTCTGAAGAAAGGGAAACGGTCATATTGACGTAGTTTGAGATTACAAAGCGGAAAAAGATTAAGCAATGTTTGTGTTTGAAAATCAACAGTTCTTGCTTTTTATATTCATGATTCTAATCATCTGATTGAATTGAAAATAAATAATTTTATTTCCTATCCATGATCTCTTCATTCCTCCTTTAGTGCTGTGCAATCAGCTTTGTTTATCTAAAAAGTTTTATTAATAAAATTCATTATTAATTTATAATTAACTTAAAATATCTCAAAAATTTTTATTGTATAAATACAGATTCGGTTTCACTGATTAAGTTTCCAATTCTACAACTATAACAAACCTATAATTATTGAATTAATCAATAATTTAAAACTAATCATTTTACTCGGCATCTTCAAACTAACTTTATTTAAATTCTTATTTATTTTTTTGGAAATTTAAAAACGTTTTAAATATTCCTCGCGAGAAGATTATTTAAATTATTTATCATTAGTGTGAAAAGTTAATAGACTTATATACATATACAGAGATGCCAACTGCTCCGGACGCGCCAAAATAATTTTAAAAAAAAGACGGTAAATAACTACAAAATAAATTTTGCAAATATTTGACTATTTTTGCTTGCTTTTTAAAAAGGTATAGCATGACATAAGTACTTGAGCTTGAGCTAAGGTAGGTTTATAATACAGAAGTAATGCCATACCTTTTAAAAAGCAAGCAAAAATAGTAAAATATTTACAAAATTTAGTTATTTACCGCTTTTTTATTTACCGCTTTTTAAATTATTTTGGCATGTCCGGAGCAGTTGGCATCTCTACTCATACTCATATGTGTTGGTTATCTCAGCATCAGCCCCGCTAGGGGCTCCAACTAATTCATCTGAGTGGAAATAAATGATAAATCGCCGAAGCGCAACTGAAAGGTGAAAGTTGGGGTTCTTTTACTGAGAGAAAATTAAAATGAAGTAGTGAGATTGAACAAACAAGTTTGAGAGAGAGAGAAGAGGTTTTGTGGCAGACTGCCTCGCCTCCCTTCGAGGTATTACCCCGAGCTTCACAGGTGCACAGTAGCCACATAGCCCCAGGGAAAAGGGGAAATACATAATAAATGCGCAAAATTATTTACAAGTATTTACAGCTATTTACAAAATTTACGGGACAAAACTCCGTCGGATAGGAAAAAGGCGGTTGCCGGGCTATATTTTATGTTGTCTTTGATGAGCTCAAAATCAAAATTTTTAAAGTAATTGCACGTATGACAAGAGAGTGCATCTCTGAAGAAACTTGCACATAGTTCAGCTATGTGCTCATCTATTTTGTTGATTTTTAACTCTCGTCTTAGATCTTTCATTCTCATGGATCTGGGGGCTCCTGTGATATATCTGAGGAATTTATTTTNCACAGTGTTTGCTGACATACTGACAGTTTTTAATAAATTTACCTTTTCAGGGCACAATTCTTTGGCTACTGCAATTATGCATTCTTTGATCATTTCTCCTTCGGTGAACGGTTTTCCACGTTTTGCAATTTCAAGAGCCACACGAAAGCTGGCATGAGTTGCAGCCTCTTGTTCAGTTTTGAGTTTTGTAAATGAAGATTGCTGCGATTTCAATCCGCGCTTCATAGCTTCGAATTTTTCTGTCCGCAAACTTCCTGTATATTTTGAGTAATTTTGAAAATGCTTTGTTTCATAATGACGTTTAATGTTATATTCTTTGAGAACGGCTATGGTTTCATTGCAAATCAAACATAGCGCCCTGTTACTGAACTCAATTACGAAATACTGAATGTTCCACTGATCTTTGAATTTTCTGCATTCACTATCAATTTTTCGCTTCTTTTCCATACTACTAAATCACATACAAAAGCAACAATTCAAATCAAAATACTGTTACAGAGATGTCTTAAACTTAAACATGCACAAACACGTTTTAAGGAGGTACGCACTATTTTATTTCACAACAGTGTCATAGGAACTGACTTGTGGTCGTCGTCGTCGTCTCTATTTTGTCAAGGCGTTTAGGCCCGAAGGGGCCTTTTACCTTTCCATATGAATTGAAATCTTGAGCTACTAAAATCATGAGTTGAGAGCTGACTTGTGGTTGCGCCACTAGCCTTCTTATATATTCCAATTACTGCCATCTAGAAGTGAGTGGAAGACACCAGAACTTTCTCGAACCAACGAGATTATTCTGTACGTGCTATTAGCGCCATCTGTTATCAATAGAAGGTACTACTTATTTCCGCTTGTGTCCACACCAGATGTCGTGTCACGTTACTCCTCATGGCTCGTACTCTACGACTAATCTAGAAATTACAGATAATGACAGGAAAATTAATAATATGCAGTGTTGCCGATTTGCAGCCTTTTTTAAACGGTGCGTACTTTTTCGGACTTTTTTTTTCATCAGTGGGCTATTTCACTTTTTACCACCGGCAACAATGATAATATGGTTTTGGCCCTCGGAACTTACTGGAGTAATCAGTATGGCCCTAAGGCTGGAAAGTTTGGAGACCCCTGGTCTAGAAGAACAGTAAGAAATCGCAATAATACTATCGTTGATGACAATAATGTTTAATTGTCGTTGGTAGTTTATATTAACCCTTTTCAAGGCCGTGGTAAGTATACTTACCACCACGTTTTACCACTTTTAATTTAGGTTTCCATTTATCAATAACTTCAGCTTTCTTGAAGTGAGTTTGAATAAAATTGGTAACCATTTGTCACTTTTAAAAAACGTATAAAAGTTATAAAATACATAATTCCTATTGCAGTTTGTAGCATTTAAGGAATTTGTTTTATAAATAAAGAAAAATAAAAGTTAGAAAGTTCCTAATAGGTCATGTTAAATATATTTACCGCCAAAAAAATTACATTTTTATAAACTAAATGAGTTTCTTTTTTTTATATCAATTACTGATCTTAAAACAATTTCAATTCCAATAATGCTTTAATTTACCTTTACTAAAAATAAAGGGCCCGTTAAAGGGTTAAAAAAAGCTTATTTCTAAGAAGCAAAAACCCTCGAAAGAAAGATCAGGAGAAAATATACTAATTCATTAGGAGAGCCGTAGAAAATCGTCATATTATTATTGACACTAATGCTTTATTAATATATAATTATGAAATTTGTTTATCCAAAATAATTCCATTTAAAAAGCAACTTGTAATAAATATTTTTTTTTATCATTTTATTTCGTAGTGATCTAAAAAGGTATGCAATTTAGTAAGGTATAAAATATTTTGCATCATTTTGAAGAATATAATTTTACATGTCTAAATACAAAAATCGGTTGTATAGCTCCTGAGAAATTGAATTTCAAAAAAAAGTCAGATGGTTAAAATTTGATTTGATTTAAATCGGGGTCTGATCATATTAACCGTTTTACAATTATTATTTTTGATGCAAATTATTATATAAATATACTATTATGAATTACGGCTGAAGAGATTCGTTAAACGATTTAGAACTTAGCTTTCAGCTTCATGCACAAAGTGATGAATTCAAAAATTTTATTTAAAATACATCCGTCCGTTTGGTAAGCAGAAATATTGCATTACAGTTGTCAACTAACCAAATTTGTTTAAACAATATGCTCTTAATTTTAAATGTTATGTCAAAAAATGATTACTTAGAATAAGGATTTAAGTTCACTAATAGATCTTAATACAGTACAGAATCCGTTATCCGGAAATCAGAAAACCGGAAAACCAAAACACCGGAACGAAATTCGATAAATTTTCTCGCCATTTTCAAAAAACAATTTTTTTTTCATCATAAGATTTTACGATTTTTCTTTCTTTTTTGAAAGATGTTTACCTTACCATCTTTTGGGAAATAATCATTAGTGTATTACTTCATCGTTTTTTCTTATTTTTAAGATTAATTCCAAATTTTTCTTTTTTTTAGTTGGGTTTAACAGTAAAAAAAACGACTTTTTGTGGCGATTTAGAAAACCGGAAAAATCAGTTATCCGGAATAGCGATGGTCCCGACCGTTCCGGATAATCGGTTCCGTACTAAGGGAAATATTTGGACGTTGGAAAAGTGTTGACACAAGTGCTGCTTTTAGTACATATATTTTCAGGTGAATAATTTCAACTGTTTTGTGCCAAGAAACAGCAATTATTGCAAAGCCATCAGCGGGGTTGGTGAGCATCAACGAGCAGGATGTTTAGTCCATTCATGTAAAAAAAAAAAAGAATCCAAAATACCACCTGTTTCACGGCTCATATTGCGATTGTGGAAGACCATATATTTTACATGTATCGAAGGGAACTGTGGAATAGAATAAATAATAAAGCATTACAAGAATTTTTAGCTTTTTCGACACCGACCAATGAGTTTTAACACGTTGAATTTTCATCAACATGTTGCTAAATTTTTAAAAGATTTTGCATGACTTACCTGATTTGTTCGTTCGTTGTAGTGGAACTCGGCGTTTGAGGCCTAACGGCCCTTTTCCCATTCATCCTGAAATTAAACTAAGAAACATACTTGACAAAATTAAAGTTTGGGGAGCAAATTGAGATGCATGACTTATCTGCGGAAACTAATAATTGGTGCACCGGAGTACCTGGCCAAAAAGGCCACCTCCGTAAATTATATGATTGCAAACTGAATCAAAGGCCATTGATATTAAAATTATTTGGGTTAGTAAGTTTAATGTTAGNAACTAACCAAATTTGTTTAAACAATATGCTCTTAATTTTAAATGTTATGTCAAAAAATTATTACTTAGAATAAGGATTTAAGTTCACTAATGGATTTTAATAGTGTAAGGGAAATATTTGGACGTTGGAAAAGTGTTGAGACAAGTGCTACTTTTAGTACATATATTTTCAGGTGAATAATTTCAACTGTTTTGTGCCAAGAAACAGCAATTATTGCAAAGCCATCAGCGGGGTTGGTGAGCATCAACGAGCAGGGTGTTTAGTCCATTCATGTAAAAAAAAGAATCCAAAATACCACCTGCTTCACGGCTCATA